TATTATTTTGTTATTTACGACCAGTTACAAGAGTAATAAACATTTATTCAATATTGCTGAAAAGCCCCGTATTTAGCCTAATTGTTCATCGATTTTGATACTTAGGAAACCAAACTGAAGGTCTTTTTAAGTTCTAAAATCTCCAGTTTATCGATTATTTATGAAATTTTAATTGAACATTGTACAAGCAAAACACTTAATTTTGAGCTTTATAATTGTTTATGAAGAAACAACGCATATCTGGCTGTATCTGTTTATGTATTTGTCATTTAAAACTTTCAGATATCTGCTAAACTTTTTAACACGAAATACCTATTTTTTCTCTGTAAAAACAGCCGTACGTGACTTTATTTGTATTATTCGCATTCGTATATGAAAAATCGCTATAAAATGATGTTTCCATTGATATACGGTGCTCTGTAGCACCAGCCGAAGCACCTGCAATCTACGGTTTCTAAAACACCCCATAGATTCTACCTCTTCAGTCCCTCCAACCGCATTTATGCTTTTACAGGTCAGCAGTTTTCTATGGTACTCGCTCAAAGGAGAGCTAAACTATGATTTACTGCTTAATATGGGCGCATTAAGGAGTGAGATGTCACCCCACATCAAAATCTCGCACGATTTCAGACGCCTCGGGCTGTGAATGCGATTTCGTATCTTGAAGGGGCGAATGAATTAGGACCGTAATTAATTTTATGTAAATGTCACGAGGAAATGACTGTGATTATTGCTTCTCGGGTTGCGTTTCGTGGTGACGGTAACTCGAACTTGGTTGTCTTGTCATTTAAATGAGTGTTCTCCGTTTTCAAGGCTTCGCTATAGAGAAGCTATACCATGACAGGCAATGCGGCGAAATGAGAAGAGAAAGAAAACTACCCCAAAACTTGACGCCTGACTATGGACGTAGTTATCGGAGTGTATCAGCTACTGCGCATGCCCAAGGATCTAGGGTTATGAAAAATTTTATTCTCAAACTAGCAGCTTGTGCTGATACCACAGTTTGATACTAAACTATATCGTCAAATTTTTCCCGTATGGCCCTAAATGATTATCAGCTATCGGAAAACTTACAGGTTTCACGAATTACTTCTCTTCTCACAGTTACAGATCACACTTTTTGCGGGTGACTTTTCAAACTCAAATTCAAATTCTGTATTATCCTGTGGACATTACAATATGAATACAGGGTTTGTCTGAGTAAAAACTAATCAATCAACACAAACTAAATATATGTATAACGTAAGCAAACAGAGAAATTAATCGGAAAGTAACAAACTCAGAGACGGTATACAAACAATTGCTTACAAGATTCTTTCAAATCTAGATAAAATCATTTATATCACAACAATCTCTGATGTGATTTGACAGCTAATTGAAAATGCGTCTAGTCCAGTACGAGTTAAAACAATTTAAAAACCTATTTTGGTTATACACAGGCATTTTGTACAACAATAATGAGGGCAAAATTTGAATCTTAAAATGCTTAATTGCTACATATCATATCACTGAATTGGTTTTTTCAATTGCTTTGTTCATCAGGCGTATATTTTATATCAGATTATGGGGGGATGGGCTGTCTTCTGTTTCTGTGGATTTTAGCCAAGTTCCACATTCCTGGATCAGCTGGAGATAGTTCTTCGAGTTTCTTATCCCAGGTGCTCTGATGATGCTGCTTCAAGGCGTCTCTTGCTTGTCTTGTCAGGCTGTTTGCCACCATGATGTCCGTGGGGCTTCTGGTCTCCTGGGCTACTCTTCGGGTTCTATTCCTTTCGGTGATCTTGCGATTTACCTCGTCAGGTAGGTCCCTGAACCTGTTTGGTTTCGTTATGTCATCCACGGTGGTTGCGGCTTCTAACGCAGCCTTAATCTTCCTTTCTAGGTCCGCTTCCTCTTTGTCTTCAGGGCTGTCAATCTGACGTAGTGGTCCTAGTGAATAGTGCAGTCTGATTCTAAATCGCTGCCAATTCACTCTCTTCACTGTTATTTGCTCCACAGGTGTTCTCCCATCTCCCAAATGAAGAAGGATGGGGTTGTGGTCTGAGCTTCCCTCTTGGCGCCGATGGTCGTGCGCAGGTCCATTTTTTTTCAGAATCGCCATATCTATGACGTCTGGCCTTTCTCCGTTGCTGGGGTATATTGTGGGTTCGTCAGGACCTATCATTCTGTATCCAGGTTCATCCATTAATCTTTCGAGAACAGTGCCATGACTCTTTCTATTTCTTGAGCCCCAAATGGTGGACTACGCATTCAGATCACCTATGATCACGGTACTATTTTCCAGTGAAGTGATACAGGTGACATCTTCTAGATGAATCGTCGATGTAGGTGGTACGTAGATCGATACGATGTTCAGAGGGCCATGGTCGGTTGTGCGTACCGTCACTCCTACGGCCTCTGCAGATCTCAGTTCTGGCAGTCCCAGTTCCCAGTGGGTAATGCTGGTTTTGACGGCAAGCAGCACCCCACCTCCGGTTCTGTTCCGATCCTTTCTATATGTCGTGTATCTCTGTATCGTCCAGTGTGGGATTTCCCCAGAGAGCTACGTTTCTTGTAATGCCACTACGTCGTAGTTCCCTCTTGTTAGGAGTTCGCCTATCTCATATTTATTGTTGGAAACGCTGTGAACGTTCCAATTCAATTTCTTCAGGTCCCTATTAGCAATGGTTATTGGAGTGCCCATTTGGAGTTTCGGTCAGTGCTATCCTTTTTAGGCGTATTCTCGCTCCGGATGAGCAAAATCCTCTTTCTTGGCAGCCGGATTTTTCATCAGCCGCGTTTTGGCACTGCTGGATTCAACGGCTTGGGCCCCTTTAGGTGTCCCAGCTGTTGTCTTCGCATAACTACGGCCCTCCTGTACTGGACTAGGTCTAGTTATGGTTTTGGGTGCTGGCGCTGCTCGCGCTGTGCCCCTTGCTGCCGTCTTCTTATCTCTTGGCCCTGCACTCGGCCTCTTTGGGCATCCCCCAAAGTTTGCGGGATGCTCTCCCCGCAGTTGGTGTACTTCGCGGGCTTTTCATTAGAGACCTTACAGTCCACCGCTCTATGCTTTCCTGCGCACCTAACGCAGCGCGGCTCACCCGTGTAGTTCATTTGGCTGTGGCCAAACTGCTAGCATCGGTAGTACTGACCTGGTCAGGTCCTCTTTCTTAATACCTCCACTTGGCGCACCATGTGGCAAACAGCATTTATCTTGTAGATCTCAGTCTCTTCTTTCGAGAGATCTACTTTAACCAGCGGTATCGCTTTGCCAGTCCTTCTGCTGGTCATCCTACTCACCCTTTTTGGGTGGAAACCTTGCCTTGCCAAGTCCTCTCCGATCTCTTGGGAGGTGGTAACTTGCTGCCAAGTGGGACATCCTGTAAGGTATACTGTTCATACGCTGTGCGTATTGAATTTTAGTGGAAATAGTATATGAGAATAGCTATATTGTAGCTCAGTACCAAAAATAAATCAAATCAATACAAACAGTTGCTTCAATTGAGGTGAGTGATTAGCACAATTCACATGGGGCCCATGCAAATCCAGCAAACACAGTCTGAATTTGCACAAGAACGTATTTATCTTATACGATTGATATAAAATAAAAACGAAGCAAATTTTAAAAGTAGGTCATGAATCCCAAAAATCTTCACTCCTCATTTCACTTGTTCGGAAATATAAAATTCTATAGAAGAAACGACACGCTCAGAATACCGCCAACCTGTTGGAGCTTCTAAAACTAATCTAACCCAGAAATATTTTTAGAACCACCGCACAGGAACTACGTATCGTGAAAAGTGACATTAAGTAAATTTTTTGACATTATATATTTTTTTTGTGACATTATGTAGCTTTTTCTACAAGATGTTAACTTAGCATTAGCTGATGCACGCGTTGTGAACTCGTCATGTGGTTGTACTAACTAATGAAAATTCAGTTATCAACGTCTGGCTCTGATGTGATGTAAAATCTGCTTCAGAGATTGCATTACTGGAGGTAACGGCAATGCATAAATATATGTGTTAATGATAATTCCATTGGATTCTTATCTCGAATACACTTAAGATTCAAAGCTATAAATTATACGCACATCCTTTTTTATCCATTTGCTGAATTTCAAAAATGAGAGATAAGAAACGCAGGCGCGGTGGTGATATCTCGTAATTCTCCTCAAAGTTTTTGAAAACACAAAAATCGTAGTTTATAACTTTGAATATAACCTGTCTTCAGAAAGGACAACAAAAATAACCAGTCGGACACAGCTAATAGATATACTTCATTGGCAGCGTATTCAGTAATGATTTTCTCACATAGCAAATATCACTGATATGATGCACATGCAGACCAATACACACACCGTCATCCAGATGCGATCTTGCTATTCACACATTCTTCTCAGAGGTGAAGACTATAGACTACTCGGCTTCACAAGACATATGCAACCAGCAATGAGTGTAGTTCCTCCATTCCTGGATAGATGGTCGCTCACAACGACCCTAGTGAGCAAACATGGAATAACTGTTTGCACCCTAAAAACTACCTAGTCTGCAAGATGACATTTTATAGGCTGTTTTGACGTTTTATAGGTTTTTTACATAATACCCGTGCCGGTAATCTGACACCTCTATAATGTATCCTCAGCTTTTATACAAAAAAATAAATTTTTGTAGGCCCTCATTAGTTATATCATTTTACCATTACTGTCTCTGTATTACACTGATTTCATGTAAAAATAATCGTTTACGTAGCAAATATTGAAGAGGAATTGTATCATCACATTGCTGTCTGAATTTCGTTGGTGGTACTGTATAAATAAAAGAAACATGTTATATTGTAAATATTGTAACGCCCTCGCAACTCTTCGACATGTGCCTAGAAGTGGAGTCGACTCTTAGGCCTCTTGTTCACGGCACGTTTTTCGCCGTAAAAATCTACGGTTAATTCGCCGTAGGTAGGCACGGTTATCAGTGTTGTATGGATCACAGTGGGAGCTTGTAGACACACACGGCAGCGCTACGTTACGGCAAAGCTGCCGTGCTCGCCGTGAAAGCCCCTCGGCGCGCCGCGTCTGGCGACGGCGTGATTTTCATCAGTGTTGTATCGCAGTGCATGAGAGCTTGTCGATGGTGCCGGACGTTTTCACGTTTTGGGAAAGATATTACACAGGCTGATGAAATAAGCGATAAAATGGACATCAATCAAGAAGTTCTTATAACATTAGTTCAAGAAAGGCCGGTGATCTGGGATAAGACGATAGAAGGTTATAAAAATAAACGCCTGAAGTTTGATTGCTGGAAAGAAATATTCGTACAATTGAATCCCGCATTTGAAGATTTAAGTGGTGAAGAAAAGAACACTTTTGGTTAGTAACTGATATATTTCTCACTTACAGTAATCCACTTAAGCATAGTTATTTTGATAAGAGAGGCTACCTTCGTTAGACATAAAATATTGTGCAAATTTGTTGCGAACATCGTTAGCTAACAAATTTCCGCGAACTGCATTCGTCATAGGTAACTGTGTTAGTTCCGATTCTGATTCAAAGGTTGATTCTCTTTCACTCGTATTATCAAACTGAAACTTTTCCTCTTTATGTACAAAATTTTGTAAAATGCAACAAGCTTTCACAATATCCACAGCCAAATCGATGGAAACATTCAGTGGCCGGTGGAGAATACGCCATTTATTGGCGAAAATGCCAAAACCACATTCAACAAATCTTCGTGCTCTTGTGAGTCGATAATTGAACGTTCGTTTTAATTGGTCAAGTTGATGGCCTCCGAATGGACGAAGTAAGTGATAGTGCAGAGCAAAGGCTTCGTCTGCAACAAACACAAACGGTAATTTGTAGTCTGTTCCAGGCAAGCGGATTTCGTCGGGTAGGTTCAGTGTATTGTTTGTTAAGTTTTTCCAAAATGCAGTTTCTTTGAAAACACTGGAATCACATTCCTTTCCGTAGGCACCAATATCAACAAATATAAAATTGTAATCGCTATCTACTACCGCCATTAAAACTATAGAAAAATAATGTTTGTAATTCAAAAACATCGAACCACTATCCACTGGCTTAATCACTCTGATGTGTTTACCATCGACTGCACCTAAGCATAGCGGGAAATCAGAAGATTCTTGAAACTTGTTAGCTATTTGTAGCCAGTCTTCCTTAGAAGGCATTTTCATATACTCTTTGCACAGTTCTGACCAAATACACTGGCAAACTTCACGTACGATGCAACTTATGGTTTTTACTCCAATTCTATAGGTGTAGTGTAGGTCTGTAAACGTAGCTCCTGTTGCTAGGTATCTGAAATACAATGATAAAAATTAATTTTATTTACAGGGCAACATGTGATGAAAAAATGGACCAATATGAAAGATAATTGGATGAAATGTCATAAAAAAATGGGTGAATATAAATCTGGCGCTGGAGCACACAAAATAAGAAAATACAATTTTTATGATCAAATGCTATTCTTAAGCAAAATTGTAGAACATCGCAAGACTGATTCCAGTATGGATGAGCATGTTAATAGTTCAGGCATCAATAATGAAAATGCAGAACCGAATCCATCAAGATCACAGAACGGTAAAGCGAGTGAGGCTCCAAAGGCTAAGCAGAAGAAAAAAAATAATCAACTTAGTGAGGTTGACATTAAGTTTATGAAGTTTATGGATGTAACGGCACAGGAGGAGAAAAGCCGCAGTATGAACTTTTTTAGAGGAATTTCTGATTCAGTTGACAAGTTTACTGATGAAAACATGATAGACTTCCAGTTTCAAGTCATTTCAATAATTAAAAGCATACAAGAAAGAGAAAATAACCGATATATAGCAGCACCTAGAAACCAATGGGATCATGGCCAGCAAGGATATCAAAGCGGCACAACACCTGCGAATTCACAGTTTTCAGTGTATGGGCATTCCACAGCTGCTCGATCAGGCTTTGGAATCAATGGCCAGGAATACGATTTTGGACATAGCTCTGGTTTAGAGCCCATCCCCAACCGACCAGAATCGCAAGCATCTGCTCAAAGTGTGAATACAGAAAGTACCTCTGCAAATTCTCAAGCCAGTACTGAAGAATTCGATTTTAGCTCTGCATTTCGGGAGCATCTTTAGCTTCAACTTAGTTTTTTTACGTAACTTATAATCATTCATAGTACAAGTTCGTTTGAGATACAAGGCTTTGTATTAATACATAAATTTAAGTAAAAGTATTTAGTTTGATTTTTTACTTACCTCAACGTTACAGCCAATCTTTCTGCGGGAGGTATGCTTTGTCGCATATTGGTATCTTGGTGCTTTAATTTCTGTGATAATTTTTGCAGCAGTTTATCGAAAGTTGTTTTCTGCATTCTGAAATAATTGTAAAACTTGGCTTCATCCTCCCTCAATTGATTCTTGACAAGCGTATGAAATGCGCCTAATTCTCCCCGTTTTTTCAAGATCGGGTGTATCCAAAACCTTCTTTTTCTTCTCTCTTGTTTTTTCAGTCTTCTATACACATAGTACGCAAGCACAATCTTTTTCTTAGGATTCATGGCGAGGACTTCTATAGTTTGCCGCAGAAAAGTCTCAACTGAGCTCACTTGGATTCATTCGACGGGCACCTTTGCCGTGCCCCGTGCAAGCTTGCACGTTTTTGTAACCGTACGGCAAATTTGCCGTACGGCAAAAAAAACGTGTCGTGAACAAGAGGCCTTATGCAACCAGAATTACGCAACCAAATATGAAGTGTTGTCGCGTTTGTGGACCGTTCGCGACGCCATTGCGAATCTTAGATAAGTTTGTATATGGAATTTATTGCCTTAGAAGTTCGTCGCTCGTTCAGCCAGGAAAACGCTGAAATGGTTTTCGACTCGTCGCCGTCGATAGGATCATAAATATCCGACCAGATGGTGGAACGAGGTAGACACAGTCGAGTATACAGACCCAGTCGAGCCAGTGGACAGCAAGTGCGTATTTAAGATGGGATAATAGTCTTGTCGTCATAGTTATAAATTAGTTGCAATTGATATAAATTAGACTTTGGACAGCAAACACGGTGCTTTCATTACAACGTGTACATGACATGAAATGTGATTTTGCACACACTTTTGCAGTGCATGAGATTTTTTGATATACACTCGGGCAGGTCCAACGATAACTCATAACCTGACATATTCATCAGTTTCCTCAAAATTACAATTCCAGTCGAACGCTCAAACTATAGGCTACTTAATATACATCTGGTGGCGAGTCATAGTCCTCTATTGAAGCTGGAATGCTGGACTATAAAGTGGAAGCATTTTATGTTCAAAGTACTCGAATCCTCCACTTCCGCTAACAATTCCTCCTAATTGCCCACGAATTGCGACTTCAATGCAGCGGAAATATTGAAAGCTTCCAACCCATCGTCAGCTGCTCTACTCCCTTTTTGAGTACAGCCAATAGCAGCCCACTATTCGGAAGGCAATGAATGTTTCCGCAGCCCGCATTGTTTAATTAACAGCGCAGTTGAAAGTTTTCCTACTATTATACTCACTATAACTACTGCAATAAACTTTTAATTGATCATGATGGCAAAATTCTCTAAAACCTGTGGCCGGATGCATTTGGGGCTGTCTACATTATCTAGACTGTCGTTCAATATACGTAACGCTAAAATAGGAATTAGAAAGTGTCATTAGTAACTGCGAATGTTTTTGTTCCATAACATGGAAACTTTAATATCAAGCAGCCACTTCTCGATAACGGCAGGGTTATTACGTATAAAACATATAATATGTAAAAAATTGACAAAATGCCAAATGTCTGACAAGATAGTTGCTTGTGTAGTTTATTCCGATACTGATCGCTGTGAGAGTGGCGAGTGTCACCCTAGCGTCACCTACAGTGGCTATATAGGGACAGTGGCAATAATAGATCGTCAACGCTTTGTTTGGTGCTGCCAATAAGAAGCAAAATTTGTGTTGTTAACCTTTGCTTGCATTGTGTGCAGTGCATTTATTTCCATAAATTTGGACTACTAAATGCGGTCTTTCATATTTTAAAGAGGTACAGATAGGTGTACTAGAATTTGGCGAGGTATATTACGAAAGGTAATAATCATATGGTTAGATACCTAGGCGCTCTTTTAACCTGTATTGAATCTTGTGGCTAAACAACTGGTTAAAAATACAATTTTCTATTGAAAACTTCCTGAATTTTTCGTAAATATACAAGTAATATCTCCATATTATTATGGATATTATAATTATAATTATATAAAGATATTGGATTCAATGTTTTACTGGGATAAATACGGACATCATAAGTACCTAAACATTCGGTTGAAATTTAAATGAAGTGTATGTTTTTAGAACAAAGTTTTAAAACAATATGCCAGGATGTGCATCAGCAGAATATACAAATTTCGCTTCAAAGGGATTTTGATGAAACGATTTCCAAAAGATCCCCATGCGAGAAAGCAGTGGGCAGCAGAAATGGAAAGGGGAAAATAGCTACCAACAAAATCCTCAACTTTATGTGAGGTAAGACAAGCTAGTATAGCCTTGTATTTTGAATAATATGCCTATTTTGTTTAAATTAAAGACGAAGTAGAATATATTACGAGGGTTACTAGCCACTCACAAACATTGATGGATGTTATTATCTTCTCAGATGGACAAAATATAAGAAACTGCAATGTTGTACCAGTGCATGAGTTATCCGATCATTCAGCTGTTGTTTGTCACCTCCATAAAACGTTAAGCAACCGGACGCAAAAGTTTTACACGTTTAGGGACTTTCGTCACTTTAATGAACGTACCTTGTATGATTTATTTCATTCGACTCATTGGGATGATATTTTTCAATTAAACAGCGTTAGTGACATGGTAAGTTTTTTAAATAACATCATACTAAATTTATTTGATAATTGTGCACGTATGGGAACACTTAGAGTTACTAAGCCACCAGCTCCTTGCCTCACAATATTTAAATGATCAATAAAGCCAGAGATAAAGCTTATCTAAGGTTTAAAGAAGTAAGTCAACTTCCCATTGGAACTATTATAAAGACCTCCGTAATTATGCTGCTGCTGCTCTTCGGAGAGGGAAAAAGGTTTATATGGCATATATCCTATCTTGGAGGAACAGTAAAGCAATATCCAGTTCGCTTAGGGAACTTAATATAATTAAGTCCTCTATAAATACTCTTCCAGATAGCTTCGATGACGCAGATGAAATAAATCCACATTTCTCAAATATTCCGATCATAACCAAGACACAAAAGCAATTAGAACTACTGAACAAATATCAAAACAATAAGTTTCCCAAGTCATTCTGTTTCCAAAAGGTCGCCAAAGAATTTGTTGTGAAGAGTTTCTCATTTATTAAAACTAATGCTGTAAGGGCTCTCACTCATTATGATAAAATACATTTTCACTTTACTCTTAGACCATATTACATTTATCATCAATCACGCAATATATGAACATCCTGTTTCCCTGATGCTTGGAAGCAGGCTATCGTCATACCTATTCCTAAAGTAGCGATTCCCACGTCTGTAGCGCAACTTAGACCAGTCAGCTTACTTCCCGCATTTTCGAAGCTTTTGGAACGAGAAATGAAGATACAAATATCTCAATATATTTTCAGTAATGAAATAGTTCCATCAATGCAGTCTGGATTCAGGGAAAACCATAGTACCACAACTGCGCTGGCCAATGTCACTGATGATGTTATGAGAGGCCTTGATCAAGGAAATATCACTTGTTTAGTTCTGCTGGATTACTAAAAGCTTTCGATATGATAGACCCTAAAATTCTGCTACTTAAGCTGTCGTACTATGGTTTTACTGACGCTGCAGTCAATTTGATGAGCTGCTATTTTTCAAATAGGAATCAAAAGGTCCTAACAGCTTCGAAAATCTCACAGTCAATTGCAATAACGTTTGGTGTTCCTCAAGGTTCCATATTGGGGCCTTTACTTTTTTGTCTCTATATATATCGGATTTTCACCAATATGTCCATAATTGCACAATTCATCACTATGCCGATGATACTCAAATTTATTCTAGTTTTCAACACAAAGATTTTAAAATAGCAGAAGCATTGCTCAACGAAGACTTAACAAGGTTAGTAGACGTCTCGTGCTCGCATAACCTAAAAATTAATCCATCTAAATCAGAAGTTATGATTTTCGGATCAAAAAACAAAAGAGCATTGATCGAAACGGAAATTAAGCTTAAAATCTATAATGAATGCGTGTAAAAACCTGGGCATCATTCTCCATTTTGAAGCAGTTTCATCCACATAGGCAAATAATATCTACTTCAGTAAAGCTGAAACTGTGTCAAACATTAATTATATCAAAGATCCGTTATTGTGACAGTATATATGGCCCCGCTCTATCATATAGTGAACCAAGCAAATTACAGCGTATTCAGAATTCGAGCGTCAGATTTTCTTGCGGAATACGAAAGTTTGATCATATTTCTTATAAATTTAAGGAACTTGGTATTCTGCAGATTAAAGGCATGCAAAAACTTCACTTATTGACACTCACTCATAAGGTCTTAGCTACCAAACAACTACAATATTTGCATAATAAGTTAGCACAATGTAGTGACATAAATCAACTGAATACAAGGAATAGAAATATGGTAGTGATACCCTTACATTCCAAGGCTGTCTACAAAAAATCATTAAGCTACAACGCTATTAAATTGTACAATGATCTGCCTGTTACATTCCAAAACTATACATTATTTAATTTTAAAAACAGGCTTAAACTAAAACTACAAGTCGATGAATACAAAATGCAAGAAATATGGACTATTCTTGTAATTTTTGTGCTGTTAATTATTAGCAATTATTGAGCATTATGGATACATTTTTATTGGTGAAATGTTTTATTATATATTTTTTTGTTCTTTCAAAGGTTAAGTTGAAAAACGCTGATCTTAGCGACACCTCGCCTTTTTAGTACTTTTACTTAGATACAAAATCAAGCCCATTGATTATTATTATTATTATTAATATACTACTTAATTGATGAAAGTTATTAAATGAGAATCACTACGTACATTGTTTCTCAAATTTTTGATGATTTTATTTTAGATTCACTTTGCTCCAGAAATATGAGAAAAAGTGTGATAAGATAGGAAATCGAAGAATAATGATATTCCAACAATTTTCTCTAAAAGCCAAACCTAAGAGAAAGCCCCCGATACAAAGAGAAGTTCCTCACCTTATTTGTGTCTCACCTCTTGTTGTGGATAACGAACAAGAAATTGTTGATCCTACACCTACAAAAAGGGTAAATAGGGCAGTTCCTAGTAAATCGCACTGTCTTGACTCCTCTTAAAGTCGAGCAAATGATGCTGATATGTCTAAATCCCACATATCCTTTAATACATCAGACAGTGTTATAGGTAGTTCTTTTCAGGAAAACTCAAGTGATGAAACAATTATGTGATATGGAAAGCATGTTTAGAAAATACTTTGACATTGTTTGTTCTGAGACTATCAATTTGAAAGGTTCTTTTGTCTTGTGAAAGAAATAGTAGATAAAGAAATAACTTGTCATAATGTTGACCAAAAAATTGTTAGTAGATAAGGTTAAGATAAAAGTTGTATTATAACTACTAAAGGTTTATTTTGTTAGACGTAGTTTTTGTTCTGAAATGAATTTCCAAGTATGCAGATTATTGCAATAGTGTTTCCCATTTGCCTTTGTCTTTATTTTTCAAGAAAAATTATCTACTGGTTTTATTCCAGAGGCATCTTTTTTAATGTCGTATTATATAATATTGTCCAGAACTTCGGTACTTGAAACATCAGTAAGAAACACTATTACTGTATGGCATTTGTTCTCTTCTCAATGCAACAGCAAAAATCTGTAATAAAAATACATATGAAGAAGAAAAACCAAAAAATAAAATTTTTAGTATTTCTATGATAAACGTATTTTAAAATAGAATATTCCCGAGTTCTTCTGTCGATTTCAGTTTTTTTTTAACTTATATTAAGGGTCATGCTAAGTCATTTAAACCTCTGAAAATTGAGGAAAATGTAAGAAGTCTTCACAAATGAATCCATATTTACATTAACATTGATTTATTATATACAAAGAATGAATTTCATTTCCAAAATTAAACTGATAAAGTGATAGATATAGATCTAACAATAAATATGTAGGTTCAATGCAAATAACAGATTTTGCTTCCTTTACAAGTAACATCTCGAACATAAGGCTCTCTAAATGCTAAAACTCATTTCGCTTTTCTCCTTATAAACATTGTTTATTTATATTATTATACTAACCTTAATCTTTCGTTTAAAAACAATTAAATTGCAAACAAGATCTGTAGTTGAAAGTATGGGAAATATTAACGTATTAATTCCATCAAAATGATAGATCGCAAGCAAAAACCCATATTATAACGGAATTAAATACACTGCTAGCATCCGGATTTGATGAAAATACATTAAAATATCCTCATTAAACACAAAATTCAATCCAAGGTCTGTAACTGAACGTGTGGGAAATATCAATTAATTCCATAAAAATGGTCGATCTCAGGCAAAAACTTGTATTGAATCAAATACACTAACACCAGCTAGATTAGAATGAAAATACATTAAAATATCTTCAGTGACTAAATAAAAAACACAAAATTATACCGTCTAATTACACGTCTCTTATAGTAAACAAAGCCAGTTTTGCCTCTTAATGGCAGGTGGGCGGAATTAAGTCTCGATTGTCGCCGCTGTCCCTACAAAGTGATATTTGCTATGTGTGAACCTTATTACTGAACATGCTGCCCGTGAAGTATATTAATTTTACCAGGCGGGTTATTTGTGTAGTTCTTTTCTGAAGAGAATTAGAATTTTTCGTGTTTTTTGCGTTTTTAAAGACTATGAGAAGCTTTACGGGAAATCTCCACCGCGCCCGCGTTGTATCACATCACAGAAAAATACACATAAATATTTTTCGCAATGCCTCACATCTGGCGCTGATTTGTATACACCTATGAATGGAAATAAAAAATAATGTAAAAAGTAGATAATAACAGTTTTACGTTCCATAAACACAAGTATTACTGTCTGTAGCCTATTTTCTCACCAGTTAGTTGTAAGGTGCTTCACCAACCAGGGCCTCTATTCTTGAGTTTGAGGGAGTAGAAATTGTGAGAGAAATGGCAAAAGCCAAGAAATGCAGTCTTCTTGAAATCAATTCTACCGAAAAGTGATAGAAATGAATTCAATTTAGGGAGTCCCGATTTCTCTTGGTACCGTCCAAGGGGAACTGGAAAAATTTGGTAGAAAATAGCGCTATATACTCGAGAAATTGACGGGTTTGGCGTTCTTATTGTCGTTCCTGCTAAACATATTGCAAAAATGGTTAATTTTAATCAATTGATGTATTGGAACGATATTATTAACGAGGATGTAGAGGAGGCAGTTGAGGAATGGGAGATTGGGAGAGATATTCTTGGGCACCGAGATCCTTTCATAATTTTGGATCGAAAATTGATACAGATGTTTAGGTGGACCAAAGATTTGGTGCAGGAATTGCTGGAGATATTGACTCCATTCATACAACCACCCCAACGAGTTTCTGCACTTTCGATCACAACAAAGACAAGAGTAGATGATACTACATCTTAGTGACTCTAAAGCAGTATCCTTTAATCCATGATTAAATTTTCCCTGGTGAATTTTGGGGTGTTCTCGGAGAAATTCAGCTATTTTGACCTTTTGCTCATTTGAAATGTGCTTTTTTAATGTTTTTGGCTTCATAGATAAAATTATAAGGAGGATATCTTCAACACGTTTACTCAAATCTGGCAATCATATGTCTTGATTTCCTTTCTCCTTTCTATCGAGTCCTTTAAGAATACAGTATTTTCGAATCGATAGAAAACCGGGAGAGTAGAAAAAGAGAAGGGAGTGTGATTTTCTGATAAAGTCAAGAATAGGGGCACAGGGATACTATAGATGCATAATAAATACTGACGCCAAAAGTAGCATTATATATATTAACTAACAAATATTCCGGTTACACTAGGACCGTTTCGGAATCGTTTTGTTTATGATTTCAAAGATTTCGTAACTAGAAAAATGTTGACCGACATATAGGAGCAAGTACGTTGGAGCTAAACATATTTTTATGAGGAGTGAGCGATAAAAGTTCCTTATGCCCACAGACGAAAACGACAAAACCAAGCGTCCCTACTAATATTATAAATCATAATGTTACTTAATTATGCCAAAATAGTTGAACGGATGTAGATGCAATTTGGGACCGAGGTAGATTGTAGTCTGGAATAGCACATACATAGGTATGAGAGAATGACTTTGAAATATCTGTTTCACGGACTACAGCCGAAATGGATAAATGGAATTTGACATGAGTCCGACCGAAATAGGCAAGGGTATAGAAATAGGGCTTTTCTATCATGCATATTCGACGTTTGTTTTCCTGGCGTGGTCGTGTTAATTTAGATTTGTTTTGATTTGAACAGCCTGTGCGATACTGCGCGTGTTATTCATTGTGATCCTGATTACGCCTGTGATACTAATCTATTGTTTACTGAATGGTCATTGTTAAAATAACTATTGCATTGGTTCGAATATTACATTTCTTTCTCCGAGGCAAATCTCTCTAGCTACTGAGGATGTCTCCACTAACATACGAGACTGTAGAGTATTAGACTTGGAGAGCCTGAGTTGCCATAGCTACATTGTGTTCAAGATGGTTGTAATGGCGGATACTGTGGAGGCCGTACCTCAGACGAGGATGGAACATGAAACATCTGAACGTCACTGGGTTCCGGAATGAGCTACATCTCCACGCGAAGGAGAACACTGGAACAACAGCAAAGGAGCTTATGAAGTTGTTAACTAAGGTTTTTGATATCACAATGCCAAGAAGACAGAGCCGTCGCCATAGAAGTCTCTACTGGTGGACGCAGAACATCGCAGAAGCCAGAAAAGCATGCATAGAACGAAGAGAGCATCAACGAAGAGTAATTTGACTTCGTAAGTCAGAAATGAATTGAAACATGGAGGCTAGGAAACGACTCAGAAGGCTAGTACAAACGTCTAAACGTAAAACGAGTGATATATATTTTACACTACTTCCATGGCCGCGAGCTTACGCTAATTGTTTGTATGTTTCTGTATTTGTAAGGTATCAATTACACATACCGGCTACGATTCTGACGCACTTTTGTCAAGTACATATAGTACAACCTACAAGACAGTTGGACAGTTGATGTCAATGCCTAATTACATTCAAAATGAGTAAAAGGCAATAATAATTCCTTTTGCCTACTATCTATTTCAAACGCCGATTTGAAAATTCAGTGAGAACTTATATATGAGGTTTTACACAGTATGGTCCTTTCAATAATCAAGCGGGATTATTTATAAATATGAACAATAATCGAAATAACGAAGTGTGAAATTTTGAAAGCAGATTACACAAAACCACCCCCATTGTGATTACTGCATTTAAACAGCTCATCATTCGATGCCAAGATACAAACAGTAAGGCATGGTTCAGATGACGTCGGACGTGCGTCAACGTGGCGCGGAATTGTTGGGTCATTGTTAATATGCTGAGCGGCAATTGATTGGGTTTAAAAACGAGAATCAATGTGTATGGAAGAATCTATTGGTGTGTGGGTAACATAATGAAGAGTGGAAGGACGCAAAAGGGAAAGGACATACCGTGTTCGCCTATTCAAATGAATAGACTTTCTACAAGTTTATTCCTTATAGTCTGTCCTATACTTCAAGACCATGAAACCATGTGTTTTCGATACTCTGCACCTAGTGACATCACGCCCATCCATGTGGATACCTAGGATTATTATGTATCTTCAAATCGAGTTCTAGCGTCAAGTGAACACACGACGCCAAAGCATGTAATGTGATGTCACGCCCAAATATGAACGCATGAGCACAACGAGCTACGGTGTACCTCATTGAAAATGACATAACTTTCTCAAATTTCAAGATATCAGAGTGATTCTTTTGGATCAATTTATCAAAGGCATTGCTTACATTATGCAGCCAAATCTCTAGGTGCGCTTACACGGGCAATTTTTTGAGCAATTATTGCTCGGCAACACATATGGATCAATGTAGAGCAATTGATGGGCCAATCTGTAACAATTTCAATAAAATGCGGAAATTGTTTCGGCAACATTGTTTGTTAATTGCTCCATCTATTCCTTATTGCTCAATGTCGCCAGCACTGGACATGGAAATTTAAGTCAATTTCCTTTTTCTGTCTCACTTGCACGTATTTATTCTGCGGTACTACGTCTCGCTTCCGGAGGGAGAGCGAGAACGTAGGCAGAATACAGTGGCGCCAGCGCTCTGTCTGTTGGGAATTGCGTAATGCGTAACTGCACGTGGTTGATTAAACACGTCTTCGTGGAAAAATTAAAAGATTATTAACCTTATTGATGCAGTTCACTTGCGTGCTTGTTTGTGGGATAACAAGAGTCCTGATTTTGAAGATCGCTTGCTTAAAAGAGATGAATGGACTTCTACAGGCATGCAGTTCGAAATATCTCATGACGAAGCAGTAAAAAAATTAAAAATGTACGCACATACTTCAACAGTGAAGTAAACAAATTAGAGAAGAAGAAAAAGAGCGGCAATGGCGCTTTTCAAGATAGCAATTGGTTAGATTCCAAAAGTATTATTTTTTTAAAAGGCGCAGATGAAGCTGATTCAAGACAAGAAACGGAAACACAATCAGAAGTAAGTATTCTATTTTAATAAAAAAGTTACAATCAAGCAGATTACTATGGAATGCTTTTTGTTGCTTTCGACTCAATATAATCAAAGCGCTACATGCCGCCGCTGCAGGAGACACCTTGTCGATAGCGAGCGATGGGTATTCAACTAATTTGGTCTTGTTTGCATGTATTGGCTAATTCCTTGAAGTTGCTCCATATCGCTCAATATTGTTGTTGTAGAACAGTTTTGGCTTGTTGACGTTGCCCAAAATTTCTTGATATTGTGTTCACGCACAATGGACCACTATTGCTCACAATTGAGCAATGCTGATTGCCCGTGTAAATCCACTTTAAGAGCATTTTCCACTACAGATAGATTCCTAATTTCGGGTGCTCGGTAGAAAAACATAGGACATAACTGTCATCAAACATGGATCAGAAGGCTGATTCCAGATAATAAGGTATGGATTGACAATAAAGCAGTGCGGATAGATTACTGTACTGCACCGTTCACAGGACATGGTTTATTTGACAGCTACATGAAGAGGGTTCTTTTAGAGAAAAAGCTTTTTAATTAATAATGAAGGAAAGGTTTTTACAGACACTATTAGGCAGAAATGCTCGACACTACTGTCCTGTCGGCCTTTTCCTGCACGAAGTGTTAGATTCTCCAGAAGCCCCTAAGTGAGATCTGAAGAAGGTAGGAAAGAGAAATAGTACGCATACTACGTATTTTGCAGTGACGCCCGGCAAGTGTACTCCTGATAATCTACTGTTAGTTTGAATGCTGACCCATAACTTTACTAATGTTGAGTAGTCGCTTTATCGCATTCTGAAAACCAAGATATGAGAAACTAAAACCAAGTTTAATTTATTCGGGATTACAGTTTGTAGTGACAGCTAAAATGAACAGACGTTGAGATAAATTGGAGGAGTTTTTGCAGAAAGGACCAGCCCAGAAAAACAATTATTGAGCAATTAGGCTTTAAAGTTTTGACATTGATAACAAATTAATTTCATACCAAACACGTTTTTAATTATTGGCATATTAAAGGCTTTAAATATGTGTATGGATCTTTTTTACAGTAAATGGTATTGCTTGTAATAGCTTATTTTCCTAAAATCTAGATTTTTCATATTTAGTGGATTGATTCGTTTCTGCAAAAAACCGTCCAAATGTCATCGAGATAGCCATGGGGAGGAGCAGGGATTTGCAAGGAGTGCCACATAATTTATGTCGAATTTATGGAAATAGTTAGGATACTGTTACCCCTCTTTTGGTCTTGTTATTCCAGCACCTTAGAGTCTGATCTCAGTTTATATTTAGCATATTGAGACATATATTTCTTGTTATTTGAGGTAATTGTGATTTAACTGTTTGCTGTTCAGTATTCTGAAGGAAGTAATATAATCGCAAATAAATCCAAAATCAGATATTAGGTTTTTGGGATGTTCTATGACATGTACATACATGTCACTCATTTATGTCGGTCTGTCGGTTTGTAAGCTAATCTTTGGACCGCCTATAGCTTTACTGCTCGGATTTGGATGAAATTTTCGCACAAGGTTACCACGATGCAAGGACGAAAGGCATTTGTAGTTCTTTCAAATCGGTTCAGTGGCGGCAGAGTACACGAATAAAGTAAATACCCTTCAAACTTCAGTTTTTTGACATTTCAGAGGCTCATGATCATTTTCAGAAGAAATTTTGTATTATTTAAAGATCAGGGGTTGGGAGTTGTGGGGATGAGGAAGGTATACTTCATTTTGTAGGCGGCAGTATGTTGATACGCCTCCAGTCCAAGTAATTTACGCACCTATCAGTACATATTGAATACATCAAAGATTTTCCCTTATAACTTATGGAAATATCTACAGGCGATGCGACGCAACTGCGTCATTCATACGACAAACCCTGGCTTGGGGCTGACAGCATCGCCGGCAGGTATGTTACAGTATCGTGGTTGGCGCTTATGATGCGTACGACTAGAGTGGTCCAGCAGTGTAGCCAGATGCACGATACTTAAGACAGGAAAGAAACTAGCGTTTACGTTATCAAATGTGTAGGGACTGTGAAGTATGCACTATTCGTAATTGTAAATAGGCCTGTTCAGTTAACTGCAAAATTTAATTGTTTTGTTAAACATATTTGTGGCTAGCCCGAAGGGACTAACTTGAGCCGAACATAATATTTAATGAAATGACGCCAACCTACTTTATACCATTTTTAATACATGAGAACTTAACCTTGTTGCCATATTTCTCCTTCATAAGTTGTCTGTAGGATACCGCATGGGTATTATGTAAACAACCTATCAAACCTCATGAAAAACCTATAAAATGTCATCTAGCAGACTAGCCAGTCTTTAGGGTGCAAACAATCATTACACGTTTGCTCACTGGGATCGTTGTCAACGTCCATCTATGGAGGAATGACTCAGCTACACGCATTGTTGGTTGCATATGTTTTGTGAAGCCGAGTAGTCTGTAGTTTCCATGTCTGAGAAGATGTCAAAGCATAGCAAGATCACATCTGGATGATTATGTGTACCGATCTCAATGTGTATAAAATCAGTTATATATGTTGTGTGAGAAAATTATTACTGAATATGGTGTTCTTTAGCAGTACTACGAGAAATCGCCACAACGGACGCGTTGCGTAATTAAGCCACATCACAGAAAAAATAGTAATGACGTATCACACATCAAATATTTTTGCAATGCCTCACACCTAGGCGCTAATTTGTATTTTCTATTGAGATCGCAAAATAAATTTCTATAAAATTTAAATGACTGGAAATAAAAATGTAATAACCATGCACCTATGCATTGCCGTTTCCTTCTAGTTATAGTATACAACTTACAACTTAGACCTTCAGTAATGCCATCTCTGGAGCAGAGCTCACATCACATCAGAGCCAAACATTGGTAACTGAAGCATCATGACGTCTAGGCAACGCGTGCAACTACGAAATGAGTTCAAAAGTGTCCGTCAGCTAGTACCAAGCCAACATGTCGTAGAAAAACCTATACAGGGTGACTTAGAAGTTGAGTCATTTATTTTAACAGTGAGTAGATCTGATCAAAAGAAATGTTTTTTCTTTTACCATTTTTCTGGTAAAATTAAAGTAACAAAGTTATAGCCCTTTGGAAGTTTGAGTACCGCCCTGTCTCAATAATAATATTATGTGCTCGTGTTTGGCGACAACGGATATAATCCGCCGTATCGGTTCATGGCATCGGAAACAAAAAAGCGAAAGAATTTGGAACGATGTCTTTACAATCATTTTATTCATTTGTATACAGTCAGTGTCAGTGAATAGTGGCGTCTGCTGCGTGGCTCAAACGAAATAAAAAATGGCACATGTTTATGCGGATCGGTTTCCCAATCGAGTGCAACCAACCCCTCGTGCCTTTGTTAATGTAGTACAACGGGCTCGTGAATCAGGTGACTTAAGACCACACAGGGGACTGCATGCCGGTGCTCCAAGACCTCACGATCAAATACAGGTCCGCACTGAAATACTTGTCGGGAGGATACTTTATAAAACAAGGTAAAAAAAAATTTTTAATTTTTTTTTTATTTTTACACACATATTTTGGTTTATCTTCCTTCTACAAACATTATCTGAAAATTAATGACTCAACTTCAAAGTCACCCTGTATAATGTCAGAAAAAACCAATACAGTGTCAAAAAAATTGAGATAAAGTCACCTTTTAAGATACGTAATACCCGTGCCGTAGTCCAAATGAGTATCAGACGAGAATGTCGCTTGTCATTAACAAAGCGCAACCTTACCAGCAAAATTATGGTACGACCTCTATGCTTCTAGCCGAATCTAACAGCATGTGCATGAGAGAAAATATAAGAGTGTAGACAAAGATTACATTCTCTAATGTCTAGTGTTTGTTTTTATATAGTTCTCCCTCGTTTCACTAGGATGGGTGAGAAGCTTTCTATATAGCTGTAGCTCCTCACTAAAGCGGCTGTTAAACAATGGAGCTATTAAGATCTCGATTGGGGAGCAATAAACATTTCGCGGTTTGTACAGTTTCAGCTTTCCTGAATTGCCTGTGGAGAAACTTATCTGCGCACGGCTACAAAGTGATATATTATGGTCTTACACGTCGCTCAGCGTCAGTCCTAGCTTAGCTTTTCAATTTTTATATAAGCGTAATATCTAAAAACAACGGTAAAATTTACTCCTAGAGCTAGAAATTTATCTGAAGATAACATAAATGGTTCCTATATGCATGAATTCTAAAATGTCTCATCACCAAGATACAGGCTGCTGTAAACTTTTACGTCGCTGATGGGACTGACTGAGGGTAGGACATTCTTTTTGATAATGCTTTGGTGGGATGGCACTACCTATGTATATGTGGTTCCATTTAGTGGCTAGACAATCAAGGAATATTTGCACTATTATTATTACAAAATAGAGATGAGCAGAGTTCAATACTCATATGCAAAAGGAAAACGCAGTCTAGCGATAAGTAGCGTAACATACATTACTATAAAAATAAAAAGCTCATAACTAAAAAGTTTGTTCAGTGTTCCACATATTGTAATACACTTTGAAGCTATAGTCTAACCCCACTTTCTGTTAAACTATTCCAAGTGTTGGATATGCGATTGGAGAGAAACCACCGCCTGACTGTCGTTCTAAACGGCTCCTTTTGCAGTTTAAAGCTGTGACCGCGGAGATTGCTGTCAGGTTGGTGCAGGTCAAGTCATAAAGTATACTAAGAGCGGATTTCACCAGTATTGTCAAATCAACAAGAGGTTATTTTCCACCTATAGGGTAACAGTCTGTTAAATATAGCGATCAAGCTTTAAGGCCCATTCAACAAATTTTAGTAGTCAATAGCTGTGAAATATTGAAAACAAAACATTGTCAAAGTATGAGATGACAGCTTGTCGTTGAAGCATCACCAGCGTATTGATTATTAAGAAATTGCATATAATTCAGTCAGAATTTAAACAAGTGCTTGATTTTTTAATAAAATTTATATGTTTC